CAATATGAGGATCTAAGACATCTCCAGAGGCCTTGTGATGGAAAATGCTATCCATATCCAAAGAAAGAACTATGGAAGTCGAATTGTTATTTTTTTTCTCTTCTGTTGAGTTTTGTTTCCTGTTTCTGATGGTTCCTCCTATTGGTTTTAATTTCTACTTACAACATCACTAATGTGAAAATATGTTTAATATGAACGTAAATGTATAGCCTATATCAGATTGTGTGCCGTCTTGGGGAGGTTGGTGGGGAGGAAGGGGGAGAAAAATTTTAAACTCAAAAGCATATGGAAGTGATTATTGATAAATAAAAATAAATTAATAAAAAAAAGAATTATACTGTCAGATTATGAGGTTGTTAACTAAAACAGGGATTTTTAGAACCATCTAGTCATAAATTCTTATCAACCCTGTGCAAAGTCTTCTATAGTGGAATTCCTACTGAGTAAATTTTTAAAGGTCTGGTAAACTTTGTTATTGTGATAAAGATAATTTAATTGGGCATGTTCTGGCCTTAGAAAAAACTGAACTTCCCCAGGTAAACACCTTTTGGTACTTAGTAATTTGTGATTATTGAGAATTTTGGTTTTATGGCACCTTGGAGATTTGTGATACTTAAAAGACATTTTATACCAACTTGGTTTTGATAAATTCCTGTCTTTAAGGTTTCCAGCTAATTTACTTCATGCAAGTTTAGTGATCATTACTTTTAACATTAGGATAATGTTTTTCTTTTAAGAAAGGGAAATACTTTTTACAAAGAAATGTTTTGCAAAACCTTTTTGTGTGATTTTTAGAAGGCCTACTAAATTTCCATTTGCAAGCTAATTTGTTGCAATAATTTGGTACTGATAACAATTATATCCAAATCTACTGTAACTTTTCCAAATTTCATTCCTAGGTTTGTTGTGTCCTTGGATATGCCTTAAATGGATGCTTTCAGAGAAACAGTCAATGGTTAATGCTTCAGATACCATAAGAAAGGACATTGGTCTTGTGAATGCAGGTCTGAAAGGTTCAATGCACCACTCTAAGTTTTTAAGGGGTGGACATAGAAGTGAAAAAGGACAGCTAAAACATCTTAGCAGATTTTGGAAGTTTTGAGATTGATTATTAAGGAGTTTTGAAACAACCTCCTTATAATCTTATCACTTCCTTCCCCCACTTCCTCCCCCTGCATCAAGAGTATATCTCAGCCTCAGGTTTTTCTGTTAAGCCCTCTCATGCTAGATACGATTAGGAAAAGAGAGTTTCACCATTTCACCCCCACCTGCAAATTCACTTTCCTCCACCTGGCTAAAGGAAGGACGGGGAGGGGCAGTAGCTAGAGCCTAGAAGGATCTTCCAGCACGAAACTGTGGGGAAGAGTGAAGGAGGATGGGTCAAGGTAAAGAAGCCAGCCAGTCTGTGTCTGCACTTGGTAAGCTAGCTCGTCCTTCTATCAATAACTGTTATATGATCTGGAAATGCAATTGTTGTCATCTGAAGTTTATTGTTTTGTGTTACAGCTAAAACAATTTGGTTATCACTTATGAGAATTGTATTGTTTTAATGCTAAAACCTAAAGTTGATAATTGATTACTGTTTGTGTGTGTGTGTGTGTGTGTGTGCATGTGTGCATATGTGTGTGTATGTGTTTAAAAAAGCAGTCCCCATGGCAAGCCAAAAAACACAGCCCACAGCAGCTCTAAGGAGCTTGTTTGGGTTATAGAGTTCCTAAAGAGTGAACTTGGCTTGCTGAAAATTTGCAAGTATATAGAGATGATCTCTAGTGATTGGCTTTCGCACAAGGACAAGTTTAAATTTGAGATGTGAGTCCTGGTAAATTTTAGATTAGTGAAACTTGTCATCTGGAGTAAAAGCTCATGGGACCATAAAGAATTGTGTTTTGAGTTGTCTGATGGATCATAAAAAATCCATCAATAATCAATAGTCAATAATCCACCATCTGAGAGAAATGCCATAAGCTACTCAGAGAGAATGTGACTGTTACAGGTGGAGGTCTGCATCTGGAAAAGTGGAGAGGAGAATCTTAGCCTCTGCCTGGGATGGGATCCTCCTGGCTCGGTTTCCCCATTGTGTTCCTTTGAAAAAGAATGTTTCCCACCTGACTATTCCTGAGTCCAGCTATGAGGTAGAATTCATACTACATGGTTGGAAAACTGTGATGTTTTATCTAATCATGTCCTTGCTTTTCCTTTTTATGGCAAATTTCTGTAATCTAAGTAAGTGGTTAGTAAAAGATCTGAGTACAGTGTAAGTATGTGAAATCTTGCTGTTTTCAATCTGAATGTGTGACCATCTTGTATCCCAAACAGTTGGGGTAAATTAATACTCCTGCATAGTCATGTGAAAGATTAAATCCCTGGAATAGAACATTCTTTCTGAATGATTTGGGAATAATTAAACAAAGGGGGAAAATGTTGGTGCAACAAAGGTACAGACACAATGTTGAATCATTATCCAACAGACTAAGGCTGGGATACATCTGAGCTACTGTAATAAAGTGTGTGTTTAAGATCTGAGCTATTCAGCCTAAGATTATATTCCTTTCTATTTCTTAAGCAACTTAGTAAATGGATATTTGGCCTAGACATCTGCCTTTTGCTAGATATATGTCTGTAAGGAATAAAGTCCTTAAAATTTTCAAAATGATGTAATAATAATTGGGTATTGGTAAAAACTGATTGCGGGACCTAGCTGTTATTTTATTAATTACTGAAACTAAATCAGAAACATCTTCAGTTTGAGGAAAAGAATTTCAGTGCACTTTTCTTAGAGGGAGGTAACTTATGGAATATTTTTGCATTAATGGAAAAGTCAATTTCATTTAAAGTTTACTACTATTGTGGAAATAATACCTGTTTATACTGTATGTCCTGTGGTACAAACATTTTATTGTAAACAACTTATTGATATATACTGTTTTGGAATTAATTCCTTATGGATCCTCCCAAGTGTTTTATGATAATTTGGAGTATAGTCAGCCTCTTATAAGTAAATTCATTTGTGTAACTATTGAACTCAAGGGTAGAAAGCTTCTACCTGCAAAAGTGTTGTGACTTACATTTACACGTGTAGGGCTGGATCCTCAATAGCATCTGATCCTCCTAAAAGAATTAGAATCAGAGTGGAAACTTTTAAGGAAATAACAAGATCAGATAATCCTGTATGTCAAAAGCAAATAACAGCATCATGGAGCTCTTGGTTTCTTTCTTTGTTTTCCTCTTTCCTGACACATTTTTAATGCTCATTCTATTTGGGCCCTGCATATTGAACTTGTTAGTCAGATGTGTGTCTCCTAGACTATTGGCTGTCCACCTACAGATGGTCACACAACAAGGATACCTGTTCCACACTTTCCTCATCCCCTGGACATTGCTTCAGCCTCATTTTACTCCCCTCCCCACCCCTACTCAGGCAGGGACAGCTTCTTTGTCCCTCTCCCAAAAGCTTTTGAGTGAATGGTGAGGCAGACAGGAGTGCTTGAGGCAGATGGAGCAAGAAGGATGCAGGATGTGAGATATGGGATAAGATACAGGGTGTGACCAGCCAGAGGAATGATCAAAGAAGACTATGCATTGAAGCCCCTCACTGTAGACTTATCTGTGTGCTTTCTAGCTATTCTGTGTTCTGGGCCCCACCTTGAACCACTTCTCCTGTTCCTAGCTCACTCTGTGCCTAGGGTTAGGCATGTTTCCCTGGGACTGAAAGTCAAATGCTTTAATTTAAATAGGGAACTCTGTGGGGCAGGGTAGAGTACATGATTACTGGTTGTGTCACCATCATTCCTGGATACTAGCTTACTCCCTATAGCTCTCCCCCTATTTCCAGAAAACCCTGTATGGAATTTATCCTTTAAGCATCAGAACTCTGTACTCAAAGGATACCACTTGGATGCAAGATATCCACTCTAGCCTGATATCTTCCCCTACTTCCTGCTGGGGGTTGTGGTTCCTCTCCCTTCTTTCTCCCATTCTGACTCCTTTACTAATCATTTTACTCATTCTTAAATTTGATCTGTGCTTGTTTAACCTCCTGGTTCACTTTGTGCCTTCTCACCTACAGAAATTCTACCTTCAGCGCTAAGGATACCAGCCCCTACCCTTGGTGTACCTGAGTGGTTTACTTCTTTTTACCCTTGACTCAGCTGGCACCAAATCTGCACCCTCATGCTGACCACCCCTCCTCAACCTTTTCTCAGCCCTTGAAATGGACTCTGCCTCTGTTAAGCAGGAAGAAGCTACTGAAGACAGTGACCTTCACCCCTTTTTTCCAAAAGATTTCTCCTGCCTAGTGGTTGAGGAAATGATGTGGATACAGATGGTGCCCTAAAAGCTAAAAGAATATTGAGTTACTTTCCCAGGCCCCCTGAGGGGGTTTGAGGCTCATTCTGTAGCCCACTCTGTACCTTGAGAGCTTCTCAAGTCCTTTTCCCCTTATCTTCAAATACCATACAACTTGGACCAAAAGAATTACTGTTGTCTCCCTTATCTTGTGTTCCCTATCCTGTCATTTATCTTCCCCATCCTGTGTCATGACAATTTTTCCTTATCTTGTAAGCCCTAATCTTCACCTCCCCAGAAGAAACCCTAAAATTGCAGCACCATCCTACAGACTGTATAGCTTTCTGTCTATATAAGCCTGGTTTTTCTTTCTCTCCCTATATCAGGGCCTTTGTTTAGTTCCTTGCTAACCTCAGACCCATGAAACTTTCATGAAATAAAGCTCCCAATGGTTACAGAGAAGTTCTAAGTGAATTCTTTCACACCTGAACCAGCTCTCCCAACTCTAAACCTCATCAGTTGGGTTGACTCCCCATAGAGAACTTTCTGGACAAGAAGGATATGATTCACATAGGATGAAAGGTCACGGATGAGTTGCTATCTGCAACAATGGAGAGAACAGTCATATCAATGAGATTCTAAATTCGTAGATACAACTTCTTCCTTCTCCCCAGTGCAAATTTCTTGCCCATCAGAAACACATACTAGGCATAGCATAGAGTTTTGTGCAAGGTAAATGTTTAATACATAAAAAAGGTGTTTTATTCATGCTGGGCTTTTTTACAATGCTACCATTTCTTACTACCCCCCTCAAAAAAATCCTATAGAACCCTCCCTCCCAACAAAGAAATATAGCTAAGCAAAACAAATCTATATATGGTCCTTGTCTAATAACATATTTCTCATTTCCATACATTTTTGTTCTACCACTTCTTTGCTGAAGGAGACATGATTCACCAACATTGCTGATAGTGAACTCTCCTAGTCCCTCCACATTGGATTCTGAGGAGCATTTGATTTGGGCAGCTGACATCAATTCCTTGTTATGGTAGCGTATTCCACAGACTCAATAGGAGTATGAGTTTTGGTATTGATCAGCTCTCTGGGGCTTCTGTTGGACACTATGGCATAATGGATGTCTTCAGCATCCTCATCACTCTCCATCTTCATTGCAGAGCCCTAGAAGCCAGAGGAAGAGAGATAGTATTAAGCTACACTGGGAAGGAAGAAACATTGACATGGTAGGGGGAGGGTGGAAAATGCCTAGTAAGCATCTGTGCGGATGTCACAGACTCAAGTATAGAATGTCTAAGCTAGAAGAGACCTTTGGAATTACCTAGTCTATCTCTCCATTTTATATGTGAGTCAACTGAGGCTCAGACAAGGGAAGTGACTTGTTAAGTTCACACACAAAGTTAGTGGCAGAATAGGAACTAGACTTCAGATGCCCTGACTCCCAGTGATCATTGTAAGCTCCTTGAGGAAAGGGACTGTCTTTTGCCTTTGTTGTATCCCCAGCACTTGGCACAGGGCCTGGGACCTAGTAGGTGGAGAGGAGGATGGGTGCAGTAAAGTTCATTGTTAAAATTTCCAGCATATGCCTCAGAACTAGGGAACACAGATCAAACCTATATTAGGGAATCCAAAATGAGTTACTGTAGTTGTCCTATACAACCTGTTTTTCATTTGGAGGACAGACCAGTTTGTGACAGAGTATGTTTGTCTGTCCCATGATCACAGAAAAGAAAAAGGGGGCCCTTGAAGTGCCCTGCAGCTCTGCCAGTTCATTTTTATAAGCCAGCAGAGAGGGCTGCCTCCTCTGACAAATCTGTCTTCTCCACAGTCCCAACCAGGAAATCACTTTCTAGATAGCTTCAGTTCCTAAAAACCCAATTAGGAGTCAGCTCCAGTCCTCTCAATTTGGCACCAATGGCCATGCCTACATTCTTTGTAGGAAGGCACTCATCACCTGCCCCAAAGGCTCTCTTGCTTGTACTGTGGGCTCATTACATTGATTGAGGAGATCATCACAGGGATTAGGGTATTCCTTGGATCAACACCCCACTCTACCCCACTCCCAATAACAACAAATTTCAAGAGCATTTGGGGGTTTACAAAGCACATCCCTCACAGGAAATCTGTAAGGTAGATAGTACAAGTATTATCCTAATGTTACAGATGAGAAAACTGAAGCTCCATGAGGTTTTATAACCCTAGTGGATTATTCATCTAGGATATGACAGAGATGGAACTAGAACCAGGCCTCATGGTTATGGGTCCATTGCTTTTTCCATTATACTAACCAATCTCTAGTGAATAGCATATTTTTGAAAATAAGAGGGTTTTTTTAATGCATTGATAATTCGTCCCAGTGTTCTGTATTTGTCCTATCTCAAACAATCAATTAATCAACAAACATTTATTAAGTACCTACTATGTATCAGACACTTTGCTAAATAATAGGAGTACAAAAGGAGACAAAATATAGTTCCTGCCCTCAAGAAGCTAACAATCTAGTGTTCCACTTCCTGCATTTAATAAAATTTTCTGACTTGTGGCTTCTTCTGACCCTCTCTGAATAAAGGAGCCTGTAAAGTAGCTGTTCCCCCTGCCTCAATTATTCAGTGCATTGGCAATTCACAATATAATGATCTCTGAATATTTTGGGCCTCTACCAAGTCTGCCTCTGGTGATGTCTCATTGAGGGACAGCAGGTGACTGACCCTGGGATCTCTCAGACTATATTAAGAAAAGACAGGCTCTGATGGTTCCTGTTGATCTGGAAAGATTAAAAAGGAGTATGAGCCTGAAAACAAATGGTGTCTACTGTTCAAGGAATAGCTCAACTAAGTACAGAGAAGTTGATGACCAAAAGATTGTCCACCAGGTAGTGAATTCTTTGGCTGTGGCATCCCATGAAACAAAGATAAAATGAACACATACAGTTGTAACTAGGATGGTATGACCAGGGCGTCATGCCTTAGCAGTCACTGTCTAAGAGGTATGGGAGCATGCTTCTACTCTGAGCTCATTCTAGCATTTTCTACTTAACTCTGTTGGCCCTACATTGAGACATGCCATATTTTGCCTCATAGCTAAGGCACTCTAACCTTCTTTCTGCCCTCACTGTATTTTCTTCCTCTTTTCCTCTCCCTAGAGGTTGTCTTCAAGGCTATACTCAATGGGGTAAACTGTTTCCTATACCTTCTCAACTGCTGCGCAAAGTTCCAATCTATTTCCTAAGGCCCATCTTCTAAGAATTTCTAATCTTCTCCTATGGGCCTCCATGTTTTTTACTTCTTTTTCCTTCTTCATTATATAGAACAGATCTCTGGAAGAGTTTAAGGAAAGGGCTATGATAGGATATGTAGATGATGTAAAAACAAAAGTTATCAATCAAAATTTAATTAAAGATATAAATGGAGTTATAACTAGGTTGAAGTGACTGGGACTTTATATCTGCTTGACAATCTTTCAAGAGGCAGGGGGGCATACTGCCAGGGAACTGGCTCCATCCTCACAGTGCCTGGACCTCTGTGGGTCTTATTGCAAAAGACATCACCTTTCTTACCTTATAGACAAGACACCCTAATCCTGATTCTTCCATGATTTCTCTCTGTCCTCTTCTTTGTGAATTGTCTGCAACATTGTACCCAATAGTTTGAAATTTCTTTTATGCCCCAAACCCCTAATTGTACCACAAGGGTCCAGCCAGCCTCCTGTGGTCCACCTTCTCCATGAATATACCCACTTCTTCCAAATGACCATGGCACCAGAACCTACTATATCCCCTCTTTCTGGGGGGAGTGGGGAAGAGGATTACCATGCCCAGTCAGACTTCACCCAGCTGGGCCAAATTGTCTTCACATCCTTTCTTCCTCCTCTCATGCCCACACTAAAATTTGTCTGTGAGACTACACTTCACATTGCACCTTCCCAGGGTATTGGCTGGGCCAAAACTCTTTGACTTCTCCGACCCTGACAACATTGCCCCAGGCACCAGAATTCCTAGTTATAGCTCTGCATATAAGACTATAACTTTATAAAACTGAAAATCTAGTTTCTCATTTCAAACACAATCATTATAATCTATGACACAAATCCTGCCCTTTCTATTTTGAGAGATCTTTTAGACTAGGACAGATAGATCTGCCCATCTGTGCACTTAGGAGTAGGAAAAGAGAGGAAATTTCATGTCTAGAGACTTCCTGGTAGATGGTCTGAATTATTTTTTGCCTTTGGGCATTGTGTATTATGGTATAAAGTGCATAAGGCAGGGGATTAGGAAGGCTGGACTGGAGTTGACACTTTGTCATTAACTCATAGTGTGATGTTGGTCAACTCTCTTGACCTCTCTGGACCTCAGGTTCTTCCCTTGCAAAATGAGTTGGTTGAACTAGGCAATCTGTTCCTTTCCAGCTCTAAATGATAGGATTTAGAATCTGCTCATGTGAAGAGTAATAAAAACTCCATCCTGCCCCCAGCACAGGGCTGTGGTGTGGGTCAGAAGAGATTACACAGGTGAAAGGTATGAAGTCCTCTGTAGATGCATGCACGTAAAGGATAAGCAGTCTTACTCACCTTTGACTTCTCTCCCTGGGTCTCAGAGTCATCACCTGTCAAAAGAGATACCTTTAGGGGAGTGAACCCCCTACATGGAAGTTAATAAGGGATTACTGTCCCAGCTGCCCAGCTCTGCTCTTAAGCTTAAGGTTTATCACCATGGACAGGGTTCCATTTCTCCATGCCTTATCCTCTTTCCTGCTTCCCCAACACAATTCAAAATGTAGCTATCATGAGTTCCATTCCCATTCTGGGACTTGAAATGGCAAGTTACTGAAGGTTGTTACTGAAGGATTTAAGAGGAACCAATTGGGGAAGATTCCTGGTATATGTATTTGTGCATGCATGTGTATAAACTTCTTAGCCTGGCATTCAAAGCTTTACAGAAACAGATTCCATTCAATCTTTCCAGACTCATCTGCTACTGTTTCCCTTCATTTATTCTATATTCCAGCCAAACTGTACTCTCTCCTCTCTCCATGTCTTCTCTCATGCTGTACTCTACTCTTGGAATAGCATTCACCGGCCCCAGCCCCATCTCCATTTGTAGGGTCTCAAGCCCCAAGTCATGTGTCATGTCCTCATCAGTTTCCTCACCCCTACTCACACCTCATGAACCCAGCTGAAAGCGATCTCTCCTTCCTCACACTTCTCATAGCACTATGACCTGGCCAATTTTGTACTCATCTCACTCTCTCATAAAACACTTAGTCATGTACAAGTTCCCCTGCTCCTTCTCCTTTATTTTGTAAGCTCCTCGGGAGCAATGTCTGTGTCACATCTGTTTTTGTGTTCCCCAGCACCTTACGCTGTCTTGCTCACAGTATGCATTTAACAACTTTTTGTTGAAAAAAATTGAATTGAATGGAGAATTCAGTTGAATTATGGTCAGTGACATGGAGAAAAGGAGGAGAAATATTCATCTCCAAGTATTCATTCAAGGTACATTTGTTGAACACCTACTATGTGCAAGACCCCTTTTGCTGAGAGGATGGGGAGGGAGTTACAAAGATGAATAAAACAAAGTACCTGCCCCCAAGAAGCTCAACTAGGGGAACTGGAACACGTATAGTCGAATGAGATGTGTAATAGAAGAGAGAAATAGAAGGAGATCAGTCGGCAGACTGGTACCATAGTGTTCAAAGGCTATATAGTATCCTGAACTCTCATTAGCTGACCTGAGATCACAATATTAGAGAGGTATGAGATCAGGGAGATTGGGGGCAGAGATGGAATGTATAAAAGGGTTAAGATACCCCATTTCTCACCTTTCCCGGCTTTCTGGTAGATCCTCCTGGTACAAATGATGCCTACAACAAGAAGCACCAATAGGAGCAGACAAGAAAGGACCACACCCAAAATGATGAATTTCTTCTCTGAGGAACTTAGAGGAAGAGAGATACACCAGATATGAGAGAAAGTTGGTGGGGTGGGGAAGAAGTAAACCACCCTGGACACCTGATTTGCTCTGTGCATAATATAATAAAATAGAGGGCATTTTGGCAGTAAGGGTATCCTACCACCTCAGAGGTTTTTGATGCTTAGGACTCAGCAAGAGGGTAATTTAGCAGCTGCACTTTCAGCCAAATATTAGGCTGTCAAATCATATGTAATCACCAACTTTTCCTCCACATTTGAGGATATGGTAAGATAAGGGGTAGAATTAATGTTGTACCTATCACTTGGACTAAGAGGTAAATTTGTATGCTAATTCTCTGTAGCAATTTTCACATGTTCATAGGATACTGGAATCCACCTTAGTGACCATCTTGTCTAATACCTCCAGTTTTCATATGAGTAACTGAGGTCACACAGGAAATTATTTAAAGTGTTGGGACAAGGTTAGCTCCTCTTTAAGGAGGATTGGACTTAATCTTGTTTATATCTCTGCCCATCTAGAAAATGATAACAATGAAATCTATAACACCTACCTTTGACCAGGTGGTGCAGTGGATAAAGCCCTGTGCCTGAAATGAGAAGACTTGAGTTCAAATCCAGTCTCAGACACTTACTAGCTGTGTGACCCTGGGCAAGTCACTTAAATTCTGTTTGCCTCAGTTTTCTCATCTATAAAATGGAGATCATAATAGAATCTACCTCCCAGGGGATTTGTGGGGATCAAATGAAATGATAAATGTAAAAGGCTTAGCATAGTGCCTAGCATATAGTAAACCTTGGATTTAATCTTGTTTTTATTTTTGCCCATCTAGAAAATAACAATGAAATCTATATATAATACCTCTCACCAGGTAGTGCAGTGGATAAAGTGCTAAGCCTGAAATGAGAAGACCTGAATTCAAATCCAGCCTCAGACACTAGCTGGGTGAGCCTGGGCAAGTCACTTAAACTCTGTTTGCCTCAGTTTCCTCATCTATAAAATGGGGATCATAATAGCATCTACCTCCCAGGAGTTTTGTGGGGATCAAATGAGATGATAATTATAAAGGTCTTAGCATAGTACCTGGGACATAGCAAATACTATACAAATGTTAGCTATTATTATTATTGTTGTTATAATAATACACCATGTGATGTGATACCAAAAGCACTGGCCTGACAGGCAAGCGATCTGGTCTCTGAAATTGTTTTTTCTACTAACTCCTAGAGACTAGGTTAGCTCCTTGGTAAGGTGTAAGACCTTGGATTTAATCTTGTTTTTAACCTTTGCCCATCTAGAAAGTGATAAAAATGAAATCCATATATAACACTTAGCTCTCACCAGGTGGTAGAATGGATAAAGTGCCAGGCCTAAAATGAGACGACCTGAGTACAAATCCAGCCTCAGACACTTACTAGCTGTGTGACCCTGGGCAAGTCATTTGAGGATGTGCTAAGAGGAGCAGACTGCACTAAGGTTCACTTGTATACTCTCTGATTCTCTATAACAATTGTCACCTTCATAAGCACATAGGATACCTGAAAAATACTTTGGAGATCATCTTGTCTAATACCTCCATTTTACATATGAGGAAACTGAGGTCACAGCAAATTTTTGAAGTGTTAAGTCTAGGCTGGCTCCTCTATAAGGTATAAGGTCTTGGATTTAATCTTGTTTTTACCTTTGTGCATCTAGAAAATTCTAACAATGAAATCTATAACACTTCTCTCTAGGTGGTAGAGTGGATATAGTGCAGAACCTGGAATTAGAAAGACCTGAGTTCAAATACAGCCTTAGACGCTTCCTAGCTATATGACTTGGGCAAGTCACTTAAACTTTGTCTGCCTTAGTTTCCCAGTCTGTACAACAGAGACAATAATTGCACTTATTTGCCAGGGTTGTTGTGAGGATCAAATGAGATAATACTGATAATAGCTATTATTATTGTTTACTGTCCCCTCTAGACACTTTTCCTTCATAGTGATTGCTCAAGAAATGTCAAGCTCTTGGATTTCAATGAAGTTTGTTTAGCCAAGGTTTAATAGGAACACAATTCTATGAAAGGATCATGAATTTTAGAGATCTTAGGCATGATACAGCCCAGCTCCCTCATTTCATGGATAAGGAAACTGAGCCCCAGAGGGAGGCAAATGCTGAGAGAATATAGAATAAAGGGAACCTGGAACAGTGTCCCCAGGAGCGAAGAAGGCTTTGGATCTGCTTTCCTGGATCCCAGGATTTAGAGCTAGATAAGGCCTCATATGTCATTAAATCCAACAATTTTATTTTATAGATGGGAAACTGAGGCTGAAAGACAGAAATGATTTACCCATGTTCACACAGGCAAAGATGAAGCAATGCAGAAATTAAAATTCAGACCATCTCTTGAATGCCATGGTCTTGATAGGTTCTAGGGTTTGTCCATTCCATGGGGCCATGTTGATGTGTTTCTCATTTAGTGGTTTGAGAACTCCTTGGGAATTCAAGATGATAGTCCAAGAAGTTAGTGCTAAAATTTTTTAAATGGTCCCTCTAGCAGTAAACAATTGCAGATTATGAGTACTATGTTAAATTACTCTAGGATTTCACAACACATTTTTGTTGTTGATGTTGTTGAAAGGGGTTCACAGAACAAAAAAAAAGGTGGGAACCACTGAGGTAGAGAGATAAAGAGTGGTATGAGGACACTGAAAGCCAGGTAGGCACAAGATAGAGTATAGTTTCTGAAGGCAAAATTGTTAAGTACAGAAAATTTGCCTTTGGTAACCCTACTCTCCTTCTCCTTGTACACTGTCTTGTACTTTCCATCAGCTCATCTTTTGCCAAGATTTGGCATATTGAAGTTGGGGAAATATCAAGCCTCCTTGTGACAAGCAGGTAGTGTAGGGGCTCCCCAGCTTGGCCAAGAGTGAAGCTCTTTTGTCCCAGGTGGTTAACTAGTGACCAGCTCCTCAGCTCACCTGACTCTGGTCTGTCTGTAATATCTCTCAAGATTAGGAAGCATGATATGCAGATAGTTGAAGGAGAAATAGGGAGAGGAACTTTCTGCTTCAAACCAACCACATTGGACAATGGGCTAGGGCTAAAGGATATCAGATCTTGGGCCATGGTAAGCTTAAATTTGAGAGAAAAAACATTAAGTGAATTTATGCTAGGCCTGCTGCAGCCCTGGGCTCCCCATGGAAAAGGTCAGTGAATCTTGGAACAATCCAGTGCATACTAAGTTTTGGAGAAGTTTAGGTGCAATGCATAGACTTCTGGGACAGAAAAGGAAGTTTTTGGAAAGTAGAGGTACCTGTTGTTGGCGGCCTGATTGTTGGAAGTGACCCCTGCGGTAGTTTGTATCCCTTTTGTGGAGCTCTGTGTTTGAACTGAGAAAAGAAATAGAGAGAAACGTGTGAACTTGGCACCTGCTGATACTCCCCAGTTGCTGCCAGCACAGGAATGCTGGCCTTGTAAGGGAATGGCACGTTAAAAAGTACAATGCCTAGTGTGAATATAATTTATGATATATCTTATGGTGCTGTGTCAGATACCATTCCTCATACAATCTACAGGATTCTATCCTATAGTTCCTGCTGTAGTCATGTGTGAGGCACCTCAGGGGTCCCTCCTCTGCCAGGTCATTAACAACATGGTACAGAATGTCATATAGGCTATTCTTTCCTCAGGAGATGGCTAGAGCTATCGTAACATGAAGACAAAATAAAGCTGCGTCTTCTCCTGTTCTAGCTCCAGGTGTGCCACTGAAGCCTCCTATATAGAAGGGATGCAGAGACTGCAGGAATAAAAGGAGCAAAGCAAATTTGTGTTTGTTTACAGTTATTTGTGGGAGAATGTATGTACATGTGTGTATATGTGTGATTCAGCGCATGTCTGTGTGTATGTATGTGACACCCTGGGTCTCCATGATTTCCAGGAGTAACTTCTTACCAGGCTTGGGAAAAGGTCATTTACCTTCCCCGGGGACAGGAGATCTAACACAGGCAGCTACATGGTGCAGTGGGTAGAGTATGGGGCTTAGAGACCCAAGTTCAAATCTGGCCTTAGACACTTACTAGCCATAGCAAGTCACTTAACCTCTATGTTGAATTACTTTGTATTATAAAATCCAGTGACTTTTTCTCAACCCTCATTCTCCTTGACCTCTCTGTAGCCTTTGACACTACTAGTCACTCTCTTTTCCTTGGTACTCTCTCTTCTCTAGGTTTTCATGACCCTGCTCTCTCCTTACCTATCTGACCATCCCATCTCAATCGCCTTTGCTGGAGATGACCTAGATGCTCCTCATCTAGGTCATGCCTTTTTACCCTAGGTGTCTTTCAGAGGCCCTCTTCTCTTCTTCTCTACTACTTCACTTGGTGATCTCATCAGCTGTCATGGATTGGATCATTTTATTTATGCTATTGATTCTCAAATTTATCTTTCCTACCTTAACCTCTCTGCTGACCTCCAGTCTCACGTCTACTGCCTTTCAAACATCTCAAATTGGTTGTCCAGTGAACATCTTAAACTCAGCATGTCAAAAACTTAACTCATTATCTTTCCTCTTAAACTCTTCCCACATCCAAATTTTCCCATTACTGACTAAAGCAACATAATCCTTCCAGTCTTCCAGGATCAGTCATCTTTGAATCCTCACTGTGTCTTTGTTGCTAAGGCTTGTTGATTTCACCTTTGCAACATTTCTCAAATGTGATCCCTTCTCTCCTCTGATCCTGCCACCATCTTGGTGCAGATCCTTATTCCCTCACTCTTTGGCTACTGTAATAGCCTTCTGGTGGATCTGTCTACTCCTTCTCTTTGCCACTCCAATCCATCCTCCATTCAGCTACCAGAGTGGCTGAACACAGATCCAACTATATCACTGCTCTACTCAGTAAACTCCAGTCGCTCCCTATTGCCTTCAGGAGTAAATACAAAATTCTTAGTTTGGTGGCCTAGTCCCTGTACCACCTTTCCAGTCTTTTCACACCTTACACCCCAACAGATGCTCTTGGATTCAGTGAAACTGGACTCCTTTCTTTTCTTCAAACAAGATACTCTATCTCTTGGCTCCAGGCATTTTCTCTGGCTGTCTCCCATGCCTGGAATGCTCTCTCTCCCTTGTTATCTCTGCTCCCTGGCTTCCTTCAAGTCCCAACCAAAATTCCACCTTCTACAGGAAACCTTTCCCAACCCCATTGCCTTCCCTCTGTTAATTATTTCCTATTTATCCTGTATATAACTTGTTTGTACATATTTGTTTGCTTTTTGTCTTCCCCATCAGATTGTGAGATCCTTAAGGATAGGTAGAATCTTTTGCTTCTTTTTGTATCTATAGCACTTAGTGTTAGGGGCCTGGCACATAGTAGGAGCTTAAGAAATGTTTATTGACTGACTTTGTGCCTGAGTTTCCTCACCTGTAAAATAGGGATAATAATAACACTTACCTCCCAAGGTTGTTTGGAGAATAAAATGAGATAATATCTATAAAGTGCTCAGCACAATGCCTGGCATATAGTAGGTGCTTAATAAATGCTTGTTCTTTATTCTTAACTCAGCTTAGAGCAAGGGTTCTTAACCTGGGGTCCAATGACTCCCAAGGGGTCCATGGATAGATCTCAAGTGAATTTGGATGCAGAGAAAAAACATTTATTTTCACTAACCTCATACTGAAATTCAACATTCCCTTCAATTATTTAAAAACATTATTCTGAGGTGGGATCTATAGGCTTCACTAGACTGCCAAAAGGTCAATGACACAGAGAAAGTCAAGAACCCCTGACTAAAGAATGAGTGTGGGGAGTGGGGAAGAGCTGAGGGGAATGAGGGAGGGGAGAAAAAGGGGGAACTAGAAAGGATGAAGGTCTATCTGGAGATGCTGAGGAGGCCCACTGTCCCCTCGGAAGGGCCTTCACTTAAATATGTGATTAACAAACGTGTTTAATTGAACAGGCTCTACTTGGAAGGGACTTACCTGGGGACACCACTAGGTGGAATCTCCTGAAGACTTCTTTCCTCTTATCAGGTTCTTCAGGCATCACACACTCATAGTCACCTGAATCCTTTACTCTGAGACTGAACTTTGTGATAGTGATGGTGATAATGCCACTATTATTATCATAAGCGGACAAATATTCATTGCCTGCCACGGAAAAGTTGGAGCTTGTTTCTAAGCGTGGTATGCCACACTCGTCTCCATTCTCTTGCTTTTTACACCAAGACATCCATCTATGTTCATGCTCCTGGGACTCGTAGGAGCAGTTCACACTGAACGTCTCCCCTTCCAGTCGTCTGTACTCTTCCTCAGCCTGTTCTGGTCTCCTGTAGTCTGGAGACCTCGGTCTCAACTCCTGGTACTGGAGCTCAGCCCAAGTCCTCCCTGGCTTGCCTAGGGAACAAGAAGATGAGTGATCTCCTCAGAGAGCAGCCTCCTCTGCCCTCCCATAGACAGAATATGCCCTAAAGAGGCAGCTTAGAGAGTCTCTCTTCCTTCTCTGCCCCTGGACACCCCATGGTGTCCAGCCCTTTCCCCCTCCTGAGCCTTCTCTCCCGTCCCTTCCCTATTTCTCATTACCATTCACCCTCCCTCAGCCCTTTCCTCCTCATGCTCAGCTCTCTCCTCTCCCCCACCCCATCCTCACCCCACCTGAGTTTCCTAGTGACAGCAGCAGCAGCAATAGGATTTCTGGGGCCATGCTGGTCCTCTCTTGTTACTCAAAATGAGACGACACAGGGAGCTGTCAACCCTCCACCTGGCCCCCAGGGAGATGGTAGGAGGGGCAGGGCCCTGGTACTGTTCTTCCTCCTTCTGAGCTTCTATGAAGGAAGAAGAACTAATGTGGGGGACAGGGGGAAGGGCCCTGAGAGGGCAAGTAAAGGGCAGCAGAAGGAAACACAGAGCTCAGAGCAGAAGGGCAGGAGAGCCTTTCCACAACGGTTCTCACCCACTCAGATTGATGCTAAACAAATATGACTTTTTCACATACCCACACTATAGGAACTGCTAGTAGATTTTGCTCCTCCCTCCGAATTTTGGAAATGAAAATGTCACTTGTCAGATCTCTAAGCCTTAATGTGGTTTCAGAGTCCCTCCCACTGAACAACTAAAACCCTAGGAGGATGTGGCTGTTATATGTCTTAGCTCATCCACCTTCTCTTCTCATACCACAATATCTCTAATATGTGGACACCCAGGGTGGCAGGGGAGGGGATACAAGGTCTATAGCTTGGGGTTGAAGTTCCGGCAGTTCTTGGGTTCCTCGGACTGAAGTGCTTCCTGTGAGATGCATGACCTCAGACCCTTAGCACAGTCTGGGAGGGTGGGGGATGAGAGAAGCACCAAGGAGCACCTTCTTACCACCACCTGCCCTTTTCTCTGAGTCTTTTCCTATGGCTAAGAAGCACCAAAGATACATTGATATCTCCCACTTTCTTTTCTAGGACATAGACAGCAGAAACTTTGAAAGTCATCAGTTGGACTGCTTCATTTTATATCTGAGGAAAGCAAGGCCCAGCAAGGAAAAGTTACCTATCCACAATAATATAAATCAGAACCTTGCTTCTGATATTTCTAGGTTCACACCCAGCATAGTTTGTCTAGTCTCAAGGGACAGATTTGCCTGAAGGAGGCAGGGAAGAAGGAACAGATCAGCATAGGATGGATAGTCTTAGGAAATGGTTAAAGATGCTCCCCTGGTCCCCCAGGTTATTTAAGTGGGTGGTGGATAAAGCTAGGACTTCCTCCTAAGGATTCTATGTGTTCATAGAATCTAAAATGTTGTTAAAAAGGCTAGACTTGGACTCAGCATACCTAACTTCAAACCCTAGCTTTGCTCTTTCCTACCTATGTGAATTTGGTAAGTCAATTAATCTCTTTAGGCCTCATTTTCCTCATCTATAAAGTAGCTGGTTTCCCCCAATGTTTCCCTCTGGATAGCTGACTATCTCACAGTGGCCCACCAGTCAGGCAGGTGGTCTGGACCCTTGGCACCACTGCCATGAAGTTCTTATCCAATCAACTGATTAATTAGTGGTCTTGGATTGAAATGGTTTTATTTATTCCCATACATTAAATGGATAAGAAACCCAACTCAATAGCTTGGAATCATGGTATGGAATGTGTATGCCTAATGGGCCACCATTAGTAAACTGAAGTGGCATTGTGGAATGAACCCAACACCAGGCAAAGGCTAATGCTCATTAGTCCCCTGAGGAGGTACAAATATCATGCTCTACCAGTTGTCTTTGACGTTCATCTTGCCAATGGAATTTGATGACTTTAAGGGCAAAGTGGGACTGGCAACTTTGCACAGCAGCATTGTCCTACTCATCAAATTCCCATACAAGTCATGACATCACCTTATGATGTCACTGGTCCTCTTTGAAGGACAAACAGTAGGAGAACAATAGTAGTAAAATGAAGACATTGGATGAGATGACCTCCAAGGCTCATTCCAGTTCTAAATCCATAATCCCAGGATATATCCCAAGGCCATCTAATCCGGCTTCCAGGATACCAAGAATTCTTTCCACAACCTGTCCAGTTCCCTGTCTTTCATCGTCTGTCACGTGGGAATACAAATGACTCACAAGTGTTGTTCTCAAGAACAAACTCCAAAATCTGAAATAGTTTCAGAAAGAAATTTATTAGGGCATTTGATAGGGGACAGCAAACCACAAAGAAGGTGTGGTTTCCTTTTCTAGGCTCTAGAAGGTTTACATTACCTAGAATTTAGACAAGAATATCCACCCGTGAATCACACATACATAATCAATTTGTTAGAGAGGACAACTTGAAAGCAAGGTAGATTGAAATGACTGTGAGTAAATATAAACATTCGATGAAATTTGGGCAAAGCCAAAACACAAAAAGAACCCAAAACACAAGCTTGGAGAAATTCAAAATAAGACAGGTGTGGAGACCAAAACCAAGAATGTTTTGGGTGGATCTAACACCTGGGAGAACCCAAAATTCCTTGTATTCATCTTCAGCATTCCTAGAGAGTGGCATTCTGGGCTCAAACAATCTCTAATCACAAAAAGTTAGACTTAAATAGTATAATAATTAATAGTTTTCTGAATAATATAATAAATGATAAATAATAATCCACAGAAGAAAGGACTGATGAGCTTTTCCCAGAAATGGAGATGATGAAGTCATTTGTCTAATTACTAGGACTTTAAGGGGAACTGCCTTTTCCTTCCAAGTAGGGCCTATATTTAGAACCTTCTTCTTCCTTGACTTCTAATTCTTCCCACAAGTTATAAGAGGTGGTCCAATGGATGGTGCTGGACTCGAGTCAGGAAGATCTGTGTTCAAATCTGGCCTCAGACAACTTCCTAGCTATTTGAGCCTGGATAAGTTATTTAAATTCTGTCTGCCTCAGTTTCCTTATCTGTACCCCTCTCTCGCGGTTGTTGTGAGCATCAAATGAGATAATATTTGAAAAGTGCTTTGCCAGCCTTAAAGTATTATATTAATGCCAGCTATTACTATTAAAGGATTACTGATGTTTAGTTTGGCAAAAAGAAAGTAGGAGTTGAGCACTACTATCACACACAAAGTCGAAGTTCCAGAGTTTTTCACATCTATACACAATCATCAACACATAAACATACACACACACACACACACACACACACACACAAACTCACATATAAAGACTTGGGGCTTAAGGCAGCCTTGAAGTTCAGAAGGAAAGAAAAAATAACCCATATTTAATTTATTTTTTAACTGGTCATTTCACCTTCCCCCTCAAAACAAGAATAATGAGGAAGATAATTTCATTCTGAAAATCTAACACAGGTCAGGGCCAATTCATAGTCCTAGATGTAAAAATGAACAAATTGGCAAGCCATGACACTCCCATTCTATAAACAAAATATAAACCAGGGAAGAAAAATTTAATTGGTGAAGGGATAGAAAAATTAATTTCCAAACAGTGGATTTGCATAGTATTTTTTTATATAGGTGAACAAGAAGCAAATTGGCTGTTAGGTGTTGTTTTTGTTCAGTTGTATCCAACTTTCTTGTGACTCCATGGACTATAGCATGCCAGTAATGTCCATGAGATTTTCTTGGCAAAGATACTGAAGTGGTTTGCCATTTTCTCCTCCAGAAGATTAAAGCAAACAGAGGTTAAGTGACTAGCCCAAGGTCACACAGCTAGGAGGTGACTGAGGTTGGATTTGAACTCAGGTTTTCCTGACTTCAGGCCTGGCACTGTATCCACCATACCACCTAGCAGCCCTAGAAGGAAGTTCAGAAGGTGACAAAACCAAAAAAGGCAATGTTGTAACTACCATGTTAACTATGATTTGTAAGCTGGAGAATGGTGAGCCCGAGAAGGAAATGGCAAACCATTCCAGCATCCTTGTCAAGAAAATACCAAATAAGGTCACAAAGAGCTGGACATGACTGAAAAAAAAAACAACTGAACAACAACAACATGTAAAACAAATCCATACACTGCCTATGCCTGAAACTATATGTCTTACTCTGCATTTCTAGTTCATTGTCTCTATGACAGCAAGTAGGAAGATGATTCATTGTCAGTTTTCTAGAAAGTCATAATTGGTAGTTCCTTTTTGTTTGTTGGAATTTAATTTTTTTCAGTGAACAAAAATCTGATTAGTCACCACAACTGTCACCCATACAGGGGGGTCTTACATTCATTTCTTCTACCTGAGCAAGAATGTCTTTCCCTTTGGTGGTCTGTCTCCTGAAACCCCAAACAAAAATAATGCACCCATTAGGAGCCTATTAGAATGATAGTTACTTAGCTGTCAGTATCCAGCAGCCAAATACATATTTGATGCCAGTCCTTTCTCCAGGCCATTGAGATTAGGCATATGACCTCTGATCCCCTCGTGGTTCTACAGCTATTATGCTTTGAGTCCCCAGGGCAACAACTCAGCTTTGGGCCTAGGGAGACTTGTCTGAAACCCCCAAGTCTGGCCTAAGACTGAGTAGCACAGGATTACTACAAGGGATAGGAATTTTAAGAGATGTCATAAACTTGATTGGGGCACAAAGACCCTTACCAACTCAATCCCAGATATCATGTTTCAGTTTTATTTACACTCTCATAGCTTCATGATCAATTGCTTCCTTATGAAACCCATGTTTGAGAAGCCATACCCAAAGTTCCCTTTAGGAAAGGATTTTATTAACCTCCGCCCAACTAGGAGGGCAACAGGCACTGTGCTTCCTCCCTCCAGGCCCAGAGAGCTTATTTGCCTCAACAACCACATTTGTTTGGACTGCTCCTGCTGGTCTGATCTCTTGCCTTAATTTCACCAGCTGATCTGCCCTCACACATATGGTAGAATGGTGAGGTTAAGCCTATACCCAAAGCCTGAAGCCATTAGGGTGGGGCTTCATCCAGAAAGTGGGATTTAATTATCCTCCCCATAAACTGGTAATAGGGTGGGATATATAATCCATTTTACTAAACTTGTCTCTTTTAGGAACTTAACCTCCTTTGCAGACTTCCAGTGAAGAACTGGCTGCAATAGGGATTCATCTTTATGGGGCCAGGATGTGCAATTCCTTATCCTAGACACCTATAATGGAACAAAAAAAATGGTTCCCAACTGGAGCCTCTAACTGATATAAGTGACTTTGCAAAAGCAAATCTTATTAAAGCTCCCCAAGCTGATGAAACTGTATCATAAAGAGGACCTTCCAAACCAGCTACGTTAGACCACACCCTAATCGGGGATTGTCATAGTGACTCAACAAATTGCTATTTAATCTTTTCCTACAATCTCCTCCATTCCTCAGTGGTGAGATCTTATCCTCTTCTCACCCTTCTGAGGAGGAAATTAT